GCTGGATTCTGATGCTGGTAGGCATTTCGGGGTTGAGATTGATTTCCTTGAGAGGAGCCCGGGATAGATGAACCACCGAAATTGTTGTGCTGTGCATTTAGAGCGTTGGAGGAGTTCTTGTATGAACTACAAGGATTCATCCAAAGTTTCAACTTCGCAACAGAGAGATTCAAGCCCTTCTCTAACCTACCCTTTAACTATGTTTATCCAGGTTACTTGGGCATGTCGGTTTTAGGAGGAGACCGGCTCTCGGTGTTAGAGCAGTGCATTGCAAAGAAAATCGGGATTTGGATAACGAATAAGATTGGAAATGGGATCGGGATATCGTGGAGCAAGTTCATGACTGTTAACTTAGATTTGTATTTCATGGACCTGAATTTCTTCGTTGAAGAGAACAAGAGGAAGACGCTAGTTCTATACACTGAAGACATAATGGCACAGTCCATTTACATTTTCGAAGAGGGTGGCAGGTTCATAAGATGGGATGGACGTCATAATTGGCATCATTCATGCAATTATGTTCCGAGTTTGGTTCCAATTCCCTGAAGCAACAAAAGCAAACGTCGGTTTCCATTGATGAAGAATACAGAGCTATACATCAGTTGTTTTGTTCCTTTTTTCATGTCCTAATAACAATGTTCTGTCATGACATCAAATCTCTGGAAGATATTTTCCAATGTTCTGTTTCTCTCAATTTCCTGGATCTTCTGTGAAAATCTCCAGCTGCTATATTCATTGTTCTTGGATCAAAGAATGCAATGCTCTTTCGACGTCTTCAAATGGTTGGCCGGCATACAAAGTGAGCTGCCTCTTCTTCACAACGATCACTTTCTTCCCGGACAAACTCACTTCTTTGAGAAGATCCTGCGGGAAAGTTTTCAATTTGATTAAAAAAAAAAAAGAACATAAAAGAAACTTTAAAGTAGTCATAAATCCTTGGAAACAAATGCCGAGATTGTATTTCCGTTGGGACTAAGCAGTTAACATTTCGATCGAACTTTATCAATGTGTTTTCTTCTCGTCTTGTTACAGAGTACGAGTATTTACCTTGGTTGATGCAGGAACAATATCGGTGCAAAAACCACCTAAATCTTCAAAAACCGATTCCAGCAGATAACAGAAGTTTCTGGCATCATTTTGATCCTCAAATGCAACAACGTATGAATTCTCGGTCTCATTTTTATCCGCAGATTCCGTTCTCAGAATAAAGAAACCCTCAGATACTTCTTCGTCAATATTACTCCGCATAAGAATTCTCTAAAGAAGAAGAAAGTATAGAACTTTCGTTATCACTACACTAAAACTGTGTAAACAAATCAGAAAGACAGAGAGCCTGAGTATATACGTACCAAAACATATGGAAGCTTCAACCACCAAAAACCATTTTCTTTACCGGACTGCCTTTCACTGC